AGGCAGTTGTGAGTTGGATCCCTGGTACTGGTAAAAAGGAAAAGGAAAAAGACAAAAAAAAGAAGAATAAAAAAATGGGTTGAGAGGTAACTTGCCTACCATGCAGGAAGCCCTGGTTCCATGTCCTGTACCAAAAAAGGAAGCAAGTAGAAGGAAAGAAAACAACATCAACCTGTCATCTCTCCCAGGAACACCTCTTAGCATTCATTTAGCACTTGATTAATTACTTACTGACCACATGGCTTTGAGTGGTTTACAGTCTATCTGCCTTCACACTGAGTATCTCATGAGCTGGTGCATTTACAATATCTACAGCCTTATATTCCTTCCTCTGTGCGTGCGTGTGTGCGTGTGTGTGTGTGTGTGTGTGTGTGTTGCCTTTTTGAGACAAGGTCTCATTATACAGTTCAGACTGGCCTTGAGATCACTTTGTAGCCCAAGCTGGTCTGGAACTCTAAACATCCTCCTGCCTCAGCCTCATGAGTGCCAAGATTACAGGTGAGAGCCACCATGCCCAGTTCCTTCCGGTGTATTATAAGGAAATTCAACTCTTTACAATAAAATCTAAGGGAAAAGGAGGAAGGACAGGAAAACTGCTGCTTTCTAGAATGGTAGATTATTGATAGTCTGGCTTCCACATTTGAAAGAACTGAGTAAAGACCATCTTATGGGAGCAAAGAATAGTGGTGCATGCCATGATCCAGCACTGAAGAGACTGAGGCAGAAGGATTGCCATGAGGTCAGCTTGGAGTACATAGTGCGTTCAAGACCAGCTTGAACTGCATAGCAAGGGCCCATCTTTAAAAAAAAAAAGACCATTTTATGTAAAGCACAGTAATCCTATGTTTTTACCCTAAGTGTTATCCAGGCTCGCAAAAGTTTCTTTTTAGTAGTTTTCTTAAACACCTTATCCTCCACCACTAACTCAACTCTGTAGTAAATTAGGACTAGATATAAAATGCAGAGAAACAGATGTCAATTTCAACTAGATCAGCATCTGCTTGCAAGTGCCTGGTCATGAGTTCGATCCCTGGTACTGGTAAAAAAAAAAAAAAAAAAGAAGACTTACAGGGCAAAGAGATCAGCTGGGAAAAGAAAAATTTAAGAGGATTAAATGTAAACACTTTGTTAACTCCAAAACACTTCCCCCTTCTTGTCTCCCAGCTAATAAATTAGGCTACTCTTGATATGCACACTTGAATTTCTTATAAACAATGTATACTTCCAATTAACAGATTTCTAAAAGGATGATAAACCAAAATATACAAAAGACTAATAATCTAGCTCTTGTTTCACCTTCTAGATTAAAAAAAAAACAAAGGCCAGGGATTTAGCTCCATGGCATAAGTGCCTGTCTGGCAAGTGTGAGGTCGTGAGTTATATTCCTGGCACCAAAATAAATAAATAAATAAATGAAACAAAACAAAATCAGGCATGGTGGCACATTATTGGAGGCCAAAGCTAGAGGATCAAAGTTCAAAAGTTCAAAGCCAGCTTGAGCTATAAAGCAACACCCTGTCTTTAAAAAAAAAAAAGCTTTACATGGTAATGTGTGTCTATAAATGCATGTAATCTCAGCACTCTGGGAAGCAGAGGCAGGCCAGAAATCCTAGTCCAGATTAGGCAATTTAGCAACACTGGGCGGGACAGGGGGAGGGGGGCTGTTTGACTTTTTTTTTCAGCTCCTCTCTGACCACTCACATGCAGGAATCCTAGGTTCTCTTCCTCAGCACATCCTCCAATGTGTCCTCCCAATGAAGGCTGTTCTCTACTCAATCTCTCTGAGTTAAAATCAAAATCAGGAAACATTGCTATTCCTGTGGTTCAGAACTGCTACTGATATAACTAAAATACAGATGTTCAAACTACTTGAGGCTTCACTAATGAGTAAGAATCTCGGGACTTAGACCTCAAGTACTTCTATGTTCCCAGCCTCTGGGTTCCTCAGGCAAGAAACTTGTCTTCTGTTCAACACTGAATCGGGATAAGGCACCATTCATATGTACTGAAAAATGCCATGAAAACAAGTTTAAACATTCCCCAACTGCAGGCAGGTATGGCTGGTTTTAATAAATTAAATAGCTACATAGGTGGTTACATTAGAAAAACCACTTTTTTTTGTACTGAGAACTGAACCCATGGCCTTGTGCTTGCCAGACAGGCACTATGCAGCTGAGCTACATCCCCTGATCCTAGAAAGCTACCTTAAAAAAAAAAAAAAAGCATAGGGTATAAACCCACCGCTTCCTGTGTGCTAAGCAAGTGCTCTACCATTGAGGTATACACCTCCTGACCCAAAAAGCCTTTGTTTTTTAGGGGGAAAAGGGAACTGAACCCAGGGCCTTTGCACTAAGCCACATTCCCAACTGTCTTAATGTGGTAACATGTATAAAAGCTGTGAAAATGAGCAAATGCTTTGACACTTCAATCTACTTATTCCAATGACATAAGAAAGCACTGAAACTTTAATCTTTGGGAATATTCTCAATGATGAATGTAAAAGCTATAAACTAGAAAATAAAAGGACCAGTAACAAATTGAGTAGGTTTAAAAAGGCTTAATCTGTAATCACTAAACTCATGAAAAATAGTTACTTATTGACAGGAGAAAGTGATTCAGAGATTTTTTTTCTGGTTTTGTAACCTCCCCTTTTTCCACTGAAAATGTAAACAGAATCATGCAATGAAATTCTATTGTTTTATAAAATGTGCATAGAGTCAAACACGATGGTACAGTTCTATAATCTCAACTGAGGCAGGATTCAAATTCAAAAGCAACTGCCTGAAGAAATTTTTAAAAATCTTATGGCAGGCGTGGTGTGGTGGCACACGCCTGTAATCCCAGCACTTTGGAGGCTGAGCAGGAGGATCAAGGCAAATTGGAGGCCAATCTGGACGACATAATTCAAGGGCAGCCTGAACTACATAGTGAAACCCTGTCCCAAAACAAAAAAAATCTTTAAAATAAACAATCTGCAACATAACCAAAGCCTAGTTTAAATTTAATAAACACACTATTTGGAGAAAGATGGTCTAAAATACATTCTATTCTTTGATTTTACTGATAACTCTAAATATGAACTTTCAACAAGGGCTGTACAATGATGTAGACTAGAAAAAGCTTCTCAGAAATGAGGCATGCAAACACTATAGCACCTTTTTTAAAATCTAGATTTTGTATTCCATTAGCATTTATTCTCTCTCACCTAAATTGAAAAACCAGTATCATCTGCATCACCTGCATTTCTGTTCCAGAATGATACAGATTTCCAGATTTTGGGGGGCCTTGATACAAGTCTGTAACCCCAGCATGTTTAAGGCTAATTAGGTCTGCATAGTGACACTGTCTCAAAAACAAAAAATAAACAAAAACTTGCTTTTGTTGCCAGTAATTAAGACAAACTGAAGAGTGGAGAAAATTGGATGACATATAGGGAAAAAAATTACAAATAATTGAAAAAGGATTATCAATTGAGTTAAGAATATAAAGTTTTAGATAGGGATGCAACAAAAGAGAAGTCAAAGTTTTACTGCAATTCTTAAAGTCCCCTTTAAAAAAAATTCTCAATTTAAGACTTAAGAATTTTGTAATCCCAGCACTTGGGACACTGAGGCAGGAAAATCATTAGAACTTTGTAATCCCAGCACTTAAGAGGCTGAGGCAAGAGGATCCTTTGCAAGTTAGTGACCAACCTAGACTACAAAACCAGCCTGGGACTGGGAGTTTAGCTCAGCGGCATAAGCGCCTGTCTTGAAAGCAGGCAGTCGTGAGTTCGATCCCCGGTGCCGCCGATAAAAAGGAAAAAGACAAAAAAAAAAAATTTCTACAAAACCAGCCTGAATTGCACAGTAAGACTCTGTCTCCAAAAAAAAAAAAAAAAAAAAACACCCTGATGCGTTATTAGATAATACAACAAGTATCTATTAATAATGCAAGGTCAACAAGTAGGCAAGTGACAAATGGCTAATTCATCAGACAGTATTTAGCACACCGATTTTAAAGAATTAAAAAGTGGCACGCTACAAAAATGCAGGAGTAATTTGCTATGCTCGTTTTATGTACATAGTTTCCCTCCATGTAACTTGTGTTTTCTAAAGGTTGCACTGAACCAAGACTTCATTTCCGGTCACATACGTGATTCCTCACATAACTTGTTTCCCCAACGCAAATTTAGTCCAAAATCTGACTTTTGGAGGTTCAATAAAATGTGGTTGGCAACTTAAGACAAGCCTAACTTACTGAGCACAAAATAGGAATTGTCAGCGAAAAGAGTTCAAAAGCAGAAAGCCTCTGCTTTCTAACTCACAATAGAGTTCTGTCCACTAGACAACACTACGTTTTGTTAACAGCTTCAAGCCAGTTACACGCTAGAACTGGAAGTAGCAGCAGCAGTTAGGTTCCAAACAGCAAAGACACAAAAGAAACGTAAGCAGAGCCTTACCACTGGAAAACAGGTCCCCTCAGCACCTTTTACGAAAAAGTTCCCTTCCCCCACCTTTAAATAGGCACTTAAAAACTGCCAAGCAGATCCATTTCTTTATTAACTGGTGTCCACTTGGGGCAATCGTACACCAAGTGGCTCTTAGGCCTACCCTTAATCCCTTCCAGAAGTGTTCCAGAGAGACCGAAGCCCAGGAGAACCCTCGTGGGGGGCCCAATTCTCCGTGGCTCCTTTTCCTATCCACCGCCCTTCGCAGCCCTGGAAACGATCCTCCAGCCAAAGGAAGGGCACCCGGTCCGGGAGCCTGCACGAACGGTCCACAAGAAAAGGCTTAGGCGGCCACCGGCCTCCGCCACGGTAAGACCCAGGAAGCACTGCCCCAGCGCGCCTCCCAGCACCCGGCGAACCTCAGCTCCAACACCCCGCTCTAAGCTTAGCAGAGGTAGCGCAACAGACTGGGCCGGCAGGCTGAGTACCGGGCTGCACGCACCAGGCCCAGGCCTAACTTCTGGGACCTCGATGCCTGACCCGGTGCAGCCGGCTCGGCGGCGCCCCTCACCTGGATGACCTCGTTGACCTCCCGGATGCATTCCACCATGTGCTGGAGAATCTGCTCGGCCGTAAGCACCTCATAGCGGTAATCCTCCTCCTGCTCGTGTCCCGGGCCGCCACCACCGCCGCCGCCGCCGCCGCCGCCGCCGCCGCCCCCGGGCCCCAGGGCGCTGCCACCGCCGCCGCCCGTCTCCCCGCACAGCAGTCCGTCCCGCTCCCCGCCGACGCCCAGCCCGGGCTCCACCAGCTCCACCTCGCCCAGGTCCAGGTTATCATCGTCCGGCTCGTCCTCGTCCTCGTCCTCCTCCTCTTCGGCGCCGCTGTCCTCCTCGCTGCACTCCTCGTCCTCGTCGAACTCGTAGTTGTAGCCCTCGTCCGAGTCCATGGCGCGACGCGCTGAGGCCCGGCGGACGCTGGCCGAGGCGGGCAGAGGGCGGGGACGCCAGGCTCCGGCTCCGGGGAACGTCCGGACGCAGGCCTGGCTTCGGCCCCGCGGGCCGCGGCTCCTCCCTGGGCGCGGCGGCAAGCGACGGGTGGCAGCCGGGAGGGCGCGGCAGGAGACGGAGGGAGCAAGGGGTCTGCCTGCTGTTCGCCTCAGTCAGACACGGCTCTGCTCCGGCCTCCGGGAGAAAACAGTCCCCAGCGCCACCTCCACTGCCGCTGCTACCGCTACTGAGCCAACAAAGGGGCGTGCGTCACCGCGTCGCGCTGCGTCGTCGCGTCACGCCTCCGTGCGTCACTGCGCCCGCCTCGCCGCCCCTGCGTGCGGAGTGGGAGACCCCACGGCTCGGCTCGGCCCGCGGGGACCCGGGAGCTTGGCGGCGCGGGAACAACGTTCGCCGTTCGGTCCGCGGCAGTTTTGGGCTTGGCGGCGACCCGTACAACTTTTTACGAGAAGTCACTGCGGCCTCCTAGTCATCGAGACCCGGATTCCGTAGGTGGGAGCTTCGCCGCATGCCGGGAGAGTGGACCTACTTAGGCTTCCCGCGAAAGAGGCCTTCCTACGCTGCCTGGAAGACACCGCCCTCCCGCCTGCGCGAGGGTCATCCTGGGGACCCCAACTTTTGAGCTAAAATCCGTGTTGCCCAACCTCCGGAAGCGAAGTCAGCTGCACGCGGAGCCTCTGAACCGGGCGACAGGTGAATCCGCGTCGGGTAATCGGTGCGCTGCTGTCCGCGGGGACAGACCTGCTCCGGTTCCCAGGTCTCTGATGACGTCATCAAAAGTGGTCCCTGCGCTCTGCCGTCCCGGGGGCTCTAAGGGCTGGAACCCTGCGAACTGCGCGTCTCGGTAGAACCGAACTCAGTCCCCGGGCCTCCAGGGCTAGTTCTGCCTCTTACAGCTCCAGCACCTGTGCAGTTTACACCTGAGCACCCGTGGCTCTGGGAGAGAAAGGAGCTGGGCTAGTGGTAGAGTGTCCAGCACCTAAAGGGCCAGCGTGCCATCCCCAGACTGCACCATACAGCGAGTGAGGCCAGTGCCACATACTTGACACAGAATGCCCTAAAACATTGATCGTAGAATTATTTCATGGTATATATGAAGTATATATAAATATGTATATATTATATATGTACTATATAAAAAGTATGTTACAACAACACAAAACAGGCAGTAATAGAAATATCTGCAAGGGGGCCAGGAATTTAGCTCAGTGGTATAAGCGCCTGCCTGCAAGCACGAGATTGTGAGTTTGATCCCCGGCACAAAAAAAAAATCTGCAAGGTTGCCCTAAAACATAACCGTAAAAGTGCCTTCATGCCGGCTGTGTTGGCACACATTTGTAATTTGAGTTCAAAGCCAGGATGGGCTACATACGAGACCCTGTCTCAAAAAAAAAGAGGCATACCATACACCACAGTGTACGTAAAATGTATTATACCACAACACAAAACAGGCAGTAGTACAAATATCTACAAAGATACACTAAAACATCAATCATAAAAATACTGCATGGTATACTTTATGATGCAACATGATACAACCATACAACACAGCCAGTAGTGGAAGTATCTACAACAGTGCCCTAAAACATGAATCAAAACTACTTCATGATACATAGCATGTGCTATATACTATAGCGTATATAAGATGCATTATACTATAACAAAATAGGAAGTTATACAAATATCTACAAAGATGCACTAAAACATCCATGAAAGAAGTGCTTCGTAATACATAATGTATCATACACTACATAATATGTAAAATGTGATATACTACAACACGGTATAAGCAGTATTACAAATATCTACAAGGATACCCTAAAAAATGCTTTGTGAGCCAGATGTGCTGGCATATGTCTGTAATCCCAGCACCCTACTGCTTCAGGAAGCTGAGGCAGGAGGATTGCTAACAGTTTGAGGCTGACAGGAAGCCTAAAGGGAAAGATGGCCTGGGGTTACATAGCAAGACCCTTCTCAAAAAAAAAAAAAAAAAAATTGTGAGCCAGGTGTAGTGGTGTTCACCTGCAATTCCAGCACTCGGGAGGCTGAGGCAGGAGGATTATTGCAAGTTCAAAACCACCCTAGGCTACAAAGTGAGCTCAAAGCCAGACTGAACTGCATAGTAAGACTCTGTCTCAAAAAGCACCCCCCCAAAAACGCTTTATGATGCATACCACATATGACAAATCACATGGCATATAAAATGCTTTATACTGCAACAGTGCTGGGCAATAACAAATATTACAAGGACCAAGCAGGAGAAATGGGGCTTGTCTCTTATCTAGAAGTGTGCAATGTGAGCTGAGGGTGTATGGTGACATGGGGTCCAACAGAGAAGAGTGAAGTTGGTCTCTCAGCTGGAGTCCAGCCAGAGAGCAATAGAAGCAAAAGCCCAGAAGTAAGGCCATTAATGCAGGAAGCCTAAAGGGAAAGATGGTAAATGGCAAATGAGTCAGGGGTCACTTTGATAAGGGCAATACCATTCTCAGAGTGGACTTACTTCTTTGTACATAGGACAGGAGACCTAAACAAGTATACTGAAGGAAGAAGGGCATAATAAGGCTTCTTCAGGTACCTTGAAAGACAGAATCTTTTCAAATGAGTCTAATTTATTATTCATATATCTGACTGTTTAACACACAGATTCCCTTTGAAAAAAATTCGAAAAGTAAAAATATAACATCTCTGTAATCCCAGTGCTTTGGGAGGCTGAGGCAGGACAATGACAAGTTTGAACCCAGACTGGACAATTTAGCAGTTCAACCAGACCTTGTCTTAAGGGTTGGGTTTTTGGTTTAGTTTGGTTTGGTTTTTGTTTGGGATTTTTGTTTTTGGTGGTGGTTATTGTTGTTGTTTTGGTGTTGGGTTTTGATATTGCTATGTAATTCAGGCTGGCCTTGAACTCATTTTGTAGCCCAGACTGACCTTGAACTCACAACAGTTCTCTTGCCTCAGCCTCCAGTGTGCTGGAATTACCCAACACCAAAACAACAACCAAAAACAAAAATCCCAAACAAAAACCATCTCACTGACCTGTTTTGAGATCTTTTAAAAAGAAAAAAAGATCTGGGATTGTAGCTCAGGGTCAAGGCTGTAAATTTAATCCCCAGTACCACAGGAAAGGAAAGAAGAAAAGAGAAAAAGTAACATAAATTTGCCCATACTGAGAATTAAACCCAGGTCCTTACAGGTACAAATTCCCTATCATGAATGTCTTCGATATGTATGAAAAATGTATACTAATAAATCGACTTCCTTCACACTCTGAACCATGCCCCCAGCTCTTTTATTTTTATTGTTTGTTTTCTTGAGACAGGGTCCCACTGTGTATACCAGGAAAGCTTTGAATTCACTGTGTAACCCAGGCTGGCCCAGAATTTGCAGTGATTCTGCTACCTCAGCCTCCTGAGTGCTGGGATAACAGACATGTGCCTGACTTGCCTGACTTATTTTTTGATACAAGATCTGGGCTAGAATTTGAGAGCCTCCTCCCTCAGTTTCCAGAGTAGCTGAGATTACAGGTATGTAATCCTCCTTACCTGGCCATGAAAGTATACTAAGCAGAAGAGTGTAATGATACGATCTATGGTTTGGTTGTTTCTATTGAGACAAGGTCTTGCTATGAAACCCAGGCTGGCCTGGAATTCCTGGTCTTCCTGCCTCAGAGCCCACCAGATGCTGGAATTACAGGCTCAAGAGTACACACCAGGTGTGGTTGTTCTGTGCTTTGTTATTGTTGTTTTCTGAGACAGGGTCTTGCCTTGTAATTCAGGCTGGCCCCCAACTCAGTATATATCTCATGCTGGTCTCAAATTCAAGGTGATCTTCCTGCCTCAGCCTTCAAAGCACTTGGATCACAGGCCTGTGCCACCAAGCCTGGCTTTATGACTTCTTTTTTAATCAATATTGTGAGGAATATCGCAGTACTTTTGAATGTTTGAGTCTCCTATTGATGACCAGACCTTCATAACCAGGTTCTCAGCAACATTCATTCCCCTCATATTTTAGGACCTGTCTTAGATTCCGGTTAGGTTGTGGTGCTATTTTAAGAAAACCAGAAGGACAACTTCTTTCTGTCCCCAGATTGGCCCAGGGACAACCCATATACCTTGGTGGTGGTGGTGGTGTTTTAATGACTAGCTGTTCAAGCCATTGCCTGTGTTACTGCTTTCTCAGGTACAGTAACTACTGAGGAGGACAGCAGTCTGTAAACAACAGGACAAGGTTCTTGGAAAAGAAAATAGATGAGCTTATCCTCCTCCAGTGTGCAGAGGGCAGCACTGGGGATTGCACATGCACCAGGCACCTGCATCTGAGAGGAGCAGGAAATACTAAACTGGGAAGAACAGGTGTACTTCTGGCTACTCAGAAATGCTTGAGCTCATGAGTTGGAAGGCAACCTAGACAGCATCACTTCTCTTCTCCCCTCTGTCTTTGTCTGTCTGTCTGTTTCTCACACACACAAACAAAAGCAGAGTGTGCTAGAACATCTCTGCAATCCCACCTCTGGGGAGGCAGAGGCAAGACAGTTGCCACAGATTTGAGGCCAAGTGTATTAAATGGCAAGTCTTTCTCAAAAACACAGAAGTATATGTGTGCATATGTATTAAATATCTACTCATGGAGCAAAACTCCATAACTATGTGCTTATCAGACGATTATGAACTTAACACTAACAGGAAAAATACCCAAGCAGTTTTTAGATAAATTGAAATTGAAATAGCACTGAAAAAAAATTTTTTTTTAAATTTGGGTTTTTTTATTTTTTGTTTTTGGAGACAGTCTTGTTATGTAATTCAGACTGGCCAGAAATTCACGAAGATCATCCTGCCTCAGCCTCCTGAATGCTGAGATTACAGATGTGCACACTACCCCTAGCAACACTGGACATTTTCTTAGAGCATATAATGGAACTGTGAGCTCTGGAAAAGCCTCTTGCAGTGATAGAACACTGCTAGCATATCAAACCATATCTTTTGGTTCAGGATCCAGGTTTCCTGCAATTTTGAATTCTCAGGACTTAAGCTGGACACTCTAAGTAAACAGATTTCCTGATCATCCTACAGGGCTCCACCAACAGATCTTTATATAACTGCCTTTAAAACTAAATGAAAATAAATCACTGTTCGTCACTGTTTTAAAAACTCATTCCAGTGCAGATATTTTTTATTTTTAATGTCTCGGTCTTGCTGTGTTTTCCCAGGAAGAAGGTAAAAAAATTAAAGTTTAATTTTTATTTTCTATAGGAAATAAAAGCACATTTTGCCAGATGTGGTAGCACATGTCTGTGAATCCACAGCATTCTTGGAGGTTGAGGCAGAAGGATAAGGAATTTGAACCCAGTTTGGGCAGTTCAGCAGCTAAGGAAGAGCCGGTTTCACATAAATAAACAAACAAATAAATAGGTAAATAAAGGGCTGGTGATACACCCTTTCCCACTTGCCTCAGTCAGTCTAGCAATGAATACATGTATGCACTTTTTTTTTGTCTTTTTGAGACCGGGTCTCGCTGTGCAGTTCCGGCTGGCCTTGAGCTCACTTTGTTGCTAGGCTGGTCTCAAACTCACAATGATCCTCCTGCCTCAGCCTCCCAAGTGCTGGGATTACAGGCATGAGCCACTATGCCTGGCACATGTATGCACCTTTTAATAAGAGCACAGAGATCCTGATAAGCTGAGTAATTCACACTTCTTTGAGAGTATCTGTGTATTTTGGACTTGGTAACAAACACTTGTTAAGTGTATGTCATTGTTGAGAGGCAGATTTTACCTCACATCCCTAACTGATAAAATAATAAGGCCATCAGCCAGAGTGGCTCAAGCCTCTGAGTCCATCACCCACAAGACTGAAGCAGAAAGGTCACAAATTCAAGCACTACCTGGATGATTTGGTGAGCTCTTGTCTGGAAAAGTGAAAAATAAACTAAGCCTGGTAAATAAATTGAGGCAGGAAGATCCACTGTGAGTTCAAGGCCAGCCTGTGGTACCTGGTTGAGGTTAAAACAAGCAAAAACTGCATAGTAAAACCATTACAATTTAATGTCCTATTATATCAAAACACACTAAATCTTTGTTTGTTTGTATCTGTCTCTATTTATTTATTTTTTTTTGAGAGGATCGCGCTATGCAGTTCAGGATGACCTTGAATTCACTTTGTAACCCAGGCTGGCCTCCAACTCACAGAGATCCTCCTGCCTCAGCCTCTTGAGTGCTGGGATTACAGGCCTGTGCATCCACACCCAGCTCTTTTTGGTATTTTGTTCATTCCTTTGGTTTGATTTTGTGATACCAGAGTTGCTGTGTAGTTCCCACTGACTTAAACTTATCGTGTAGCCCAGGCTGGCTGCAGGGAGAAGGGATCTATAAACAAGAAAGAAAAAAAAAATACAGTAATGGCCTCCTTAAGCTTTGTGGCAAATCCTGATTGGAAAGATCTAAAATTCTGCAGAGAGAAACAACAGAGAGGATGAGCAAGAGAGCTGGCGAGGGGGGCATGCAGGAGCCAGGCAGCTGGGCACACTAAACAAACTTACTGCCCCTTCCTGCCTGCACCACACTGGCAAGGAGATGAGAAGGATGGCTGCTCAGGAGACAACTCTTATTCAGTATACACACGTATACCCTGGTGCCTCGGTTCACAAGTTTAACTTTCTGCAATGCTGGTCACAACCAAATTAAATGAGAACCGAATTAAATTTCCCCATAAAGTCAGCATTGAACCTAACCACTGAGTTTGATTCTCTCTATATATGTATTCCCATTGTAGGGCCATTATATCATTGTACTGCATACACATGCATCCTTTTACTAAATTGCTAACTCCATGTGACCTTATATATAGGGTTTCTCCTCAGTCAGTCTGTCCAGCCAGAGATAATGCCCTGACAAGGACAAGTAGGGAAGAAAACATCAGAGCCCACCTAGGAATGTGTGTGAAGGCGATGGTACCTGAGTCCCTAGGGTTTATCTGTGACCATGCAGAGCACCAATCAGGTTGTGACAAGTTCCAGATATCCAGGGTCTCTGTCACTTGATAAAGGGAACCCAAGGACAAATGCCCATGGGTGTTTACCTTTCTGATGCCAACCTGCCTGAGCACAGGACAACTTTCTCTCTTAACTTTTTCCCTCTTTCAAATTAAGCATCTTCCTTCCTAAACTTGGTACCTTTTATTGGTGCTGAGTTTACAGTGCCATCAAGCTCCTCAGATAGAGCACAGCCCTGACACAACAGAACTCATGCGATCCTCCTGCCTCAGCCTCCCTGAGTGCTGGGCTCATAGGCAAGCACCATCACATCTGCCTTGCACCTGTTAATTTTTCTAGGTCTCCATAGCAACGCAAAGAGTGTGTGGAAGAGGAGGGGACCTGATGTGCATGTCTTCGTGACACACCCTGCCTAGGGCTTCTCAAGGTGAGTGTTCACCTCCCTCCCAGCGCCCACTCAGTCTGGCACTCCGTGGAAAAGTAAGGTTGACGATGGACTCCCACCAGGTCAGATGCACAAGACGCTGCACAGCTTGCCAATGAAGGAGTGAACAACCGCACAGGCCAGGAAGATTGGAGAACAGAGAGAACCAGGCACAGCAGGACACGCAGGGCCCCTGTGGCAGGGCCCCAGCAGAATGGGAAACCTCCTGTTTTACATTTTCCTTTTTGTGATTTCTCTCCTGGTTTTTTGGTTTGTTTGGTTTGTGTCCTTGGAGACAATACCATGATTTAAAAAGATCTGACCAGGCATGATAGTACATCCCTGCACTCCCAGAACTCGAGAAGCTGAGGCAGGAGGATCATCATGAGTTGGAGGCCAGCCTGGACTGTGTGATGAGTTCACATTGTGCCCAAACTACATAATGAGTCCCTGCCTGAAGTAACCAAAAAATAAATCGTAAACTGAAAATCCTAGTAGTCTTAAAATCCCGACCTATTCATCCCCATCCATATTAAAGTGGTCTCTTCAATTTTGTTCCCTGTAACTACTGATGACTTCTCTTATAGACTCTCAAGTCTACCTGTTGTGTTATAAGAGTATTATACATCAACAGTGTTGTTATGACTTTATATAAAAGCCAATTATTAAGTCCCTTTACTGTGTCTTTTTTTTTTTCTTTTTTTTTTTTTTTGTGCAACTAGGGATCGAACTCAGGACCTTGTGCTTGCCAAGCAGGCACTTATGCTGCTGAGCTAAATCCCTAGCCCCTGTGTCTTACTTTTGTACGCCTTCCATTTTTAAAATTTTTATCAGTGCATATTTACAGTACAGAATAATTACATTCATTGTGGAGAGTTGGTACATGAACATAGCACATTGTAATTATTTTTATTTCTCCTCCTCTCCTATACCTGCCCCTGTACACCTTTTGCTTTGAAGTACTTCAGTGAGTATATAGTTCAATAAAAATACAGTGATACAGTCAACCAGCTATTGATAGATTGGATATAATTATAAGGGACAAAAAAAGGTCCCCTTGTCTCTCCCTCCTTCCCTTCTTTCTTGTTGCTTTTGCTATCTTCTGCCATGCACCATTGCCCTCTGCTGTGTGTCACCCTGCCTTGGAGCCAGCTGATTATGATTGAAACATCTACAAACTTCGAGCTAAATAAACCTTTCTCCCTTTAAAAAACTATTAGCCAGCTATTAAACACATACTTCTGTAGAGCCAGGCACAATGGTGCATGCGTGTAATGCTCACACTGAGGAATCTGAGACAGAAGCATTGCCAGGCTACATACTGAGTTCAAGACCAGCCTGAACTACTTAGTGAGATGCCTGTAATGCTCACACTGAGGAATCTGAGACAGAAGCATTGCCAGGCTACATACTGAGTTCAAGACCAGCCTGAACTACTTAGTGAGACCCTATCCAAAAAACAAAAGCAAAGCCATGCTGGCATAATGGTGCATGCTTGTAATCCCAGCACTCCGGGAGCTGAAGCAGGAGAATCTTGAGTTTGAGGTTAGCCTGGGATCTATGGTGACACCCTGTCTCAGAAACAAAAAAACAAACCCAAAAGGCAGAGTCAACCCCTTCCAACTTCAGGATCCATATGACATTTCTTAGTCACTGTTTTGTAATGTGGCCAAGAACAGTTCTCCAGTTCTGTCTTAGCAGCCATGCCCTCTCTGTAATCATCAAGAAAGTAATAACAGAAGGCTTGGGATACATAAGTCCCCATCCAGGATTCCTTAGGAGCCACTTCAGAGAATCTGAAAGGACAATGAGACAATTGAGATCATGACAGTGCACGTGAGTGTTACTGATACGGAACATTCCCAAAGGGTGATATCAGCCTTGCTGAGTGATGCATTTGTACACACAAAGTCAGGTATGTATGGGTAGACACGTTTCTCTACAAACCTTGACAAGCTGCATGTTTGAGCAAGGAGGCTTTGCTGTCTTCTGAGCGCGTGAGAGGTTGTGGATGAAGAAAGAAGGTGAAAAATGTTGTGCAAAAAACTCACTATTTGGACTCAGCAAACTTTTTGTTTCTTCTTGTGCTGGGCATTAAACCCAGGGCCTGATACCTGATGGGCAGACTCTAAACCACTGAGATACAATGCAGCCCTTTATTCTAGCATTTTGTTTCTTTTGAGGCAGGGTCTCATTATGTAGTTCCAGCTGACCTCAAACTCTAGGTGATTCTCCTGCTTTAGCCACCTAAATGCTGGGATCATAGGCCTGTGCACTGGGAATGCTTAAACTTCTGATCCTCTGGCTTCAGCCTCCCAGAGTACTGACATTACAGGTATGCACTGCCATGTGGTTTATTTACCCTTTTACAAGCTCGCTCTTGCTCATCTTATTAAAAAAAAAAAAGGATTGTAATACAAATTGTTAAAAATAGGAGCTGAGCATAGCTTACACACCTGTAATCCCAGCACTGACGTAGGACAGTTGCCAAAATCCCAGGCCATTGTGAACTACATAGTGGAACCCTGTCTCAAAAAAGCCAAAAGTCAAAAAATTTAAAAAGAAATAAAAACATAGCCAGATGTGGCAGCACAAGTCAGTAAATCCTATTATCAGGAGTCTGAGGCAAGAGGATTGCTGTAAGTTTGAGGCCAGTCTGGGCTACAAAGTAAGTATAAGATCAGCTTGAACTACAGAGCAAAACCCTGTCTCAAAAAGACGAAAAGGGCATATATATACCAGTGATCACTGGATTCTAATAAGTGAGTTATTGCAGAGGACTCATTTTATTGTTTCATGCAGAATGTGTACAAGGCTCTGTTTGAGACCTGGGTAGACACAGAATTTGTCAAAAACAGTGGCCCTTGAAGGAGGGCCCAGAGTATTCTTGTCACATCGTTGAATCTGATACTATGCTTTCCTGTCGGCCAGGATGTTTGATAGTTAAATCAGTTCTTCCCCAACATTATGCTAGGTGCTGTGCTCAGTGTTGAAAGTAAACAATGCATAAAACTCCATCAGTTGTCAGGACGTTCAGATGAGTGAGAGCCACAGATGCACAGCCCTCATGATAGATGCTTGACTACAGGATGGTCTGTTCAGTGGGGAACAAGGACCTAGTATCTGGCTCAGGGAGGGGCAAACAGCAGGTCAAGTTGAATACTGGAGGAGAAGTGAATGACATTCTGTCCTGGAAAGGTGGAGTTTAGATGTACATACAGCCATGAAAGAAGATGGCTTGCTTGGGGCCAGGGATGTAGCTCAGTGGCATAAGTGCCTGCCTGGCAAGTGCAAGGTCCTGAGTTCGATCCTTGGTACCAAAAAAAAAAAAAAAAACAGAAGATGGCTTGCTTGTATATTCAGTTACTTTTGAGACAGGCCAGCCTCAGACTCATGCCAATCCTCCTGCCTTGGCCTCCCAATCACTGGGACAGAAGGTGCATGCCCACCATGCCCCAATAAGAACATGGCATATTTAAACCAGCCTTTTGGCAGAACTGCTCTGTTTATCATGCCTGAAATTTAGAATATCTGATACAAAAAAAAAAAAAAAAGAATATCTGAGACAGTTTAAAAATGGCCTTCTGGGCATGGTGTATGCCTGTAATGCCAGAACTTGGCAGGCTGAGGCAGGAGAATCACCCTGAGCTCAAGACCACTCTTGGCTACATAGTGATTTCGAGACCAACCTAAACTACGTAAATAGACCCTTTGGGAAAACAAAACAAAACAAAACGTAAACACACAAAGTGTGTTGCTTTTCTTTTTTCTTTTTTTACTATTGTTGTTCAATTGCCTTTTTGTCTCCAACCAAAATATCTCCTTTGAAATGATCCATTCTTCAATAATACCAGAATAATTGGATAGTGTCTTATCTACTGTGCATTCACTGCCTTAGACTTTCACCCTGAGAGGAAGCCACTTGCTGTGGTGAAATTGGGCAACCATGGGTTAACTGTATAGCAAAGCTCCCTGAGGAAATCGATGGTGTGACCTCAGCTACCTATGGGTGCATCTGTCATGTAAAATCAGCAGGGGATGGGGAACTGGAACGTTCTGTCAGAACTCTCTGCTGCCGTGGGGCACTGTCCACCCCTTGACCACTGCTGTGCTTCTGTAACCTCTCTTCACACCCATTTCCAGTGCAAAAGCACCACTAGAGAAGAAACAATTCAAAATCAGAGACCAAGCTTTGTTCAGGGGTCTCAAGGAGATGCCAGGCCCTTGCTGAGATACTGGCAGAGTGACCCTTTTCTCCCAATCGTATTGAGGCAACTGAAGCAGTTTGTTCTGTCAGGAATTCTTTTTTCTTCAGTGCTTGCATCCGATTCCCACTCGGGGAGTAGCTGTGGTCTGCGTTGGTGAGTTATAGGAGGACAGAGATCGATCCTGCTGTGTTTATTACTGTAAAGTACACAGGCAACACAGTTTTTCATACCTAAAGGATGCGTCATGAGGAGAAGGCAGGACAAGGGGAGCGATAGGATGGAGATGCTAAAGTATGTTATGCATCTGCCAGATGAAAGCACTCATCTGTGTAACCAATATGCACTAATAAAAAGATCAGAAACAGGAAGTATATGATACTTTCCCATTTCTCCCCTCTTCTTTCCTCCCTCCTCTTTCTTCCCTTGTTTTCTTTCTTTTTCTTTCTTCCTTCCTTCCTTCCTTCCTTCCTTCCTTCCTTCCGTCCTTCCTTCCTTCCTTCCTTCCTTCCTTCCTTCCTTCAAGTCATGATCTCACTAAGTTGCTAAATTACCCAGGCCAAGCTCAAACTTTGAGTCCTCCTTCCTCCCTCAGCCTCCCAAGTGCTAGAATTACAAATGTGCACCACCACACCTAGCAAGTACTGATTTTATTTTTTTTATTTTATTTTAAAGGTAATAATACAGTAAAATGAAAACAAAACAGTGATAGAACAGTAGGAAATCCACAATCATTACTATATTGCATATGGCGTTTTGGGGTTTTGTTTGTTTTGTTACCAAAGATTGAACTCATGACCTGTGCTTGCCAGGCAGGTGCTTATGCCCCTGAGCTACATCCCCAGGCCCTCTATTGCATATTGTTATCCTCCAAATAGATGCTCAGACTACAGGGCCCAGGCTTGTACAGTCAATCAAAGAACACAAATGTCAAGTCGCTTCCTACTTCTCCTATTATCATCTCAGCCTGTGCTGCATCTGGTTGCTTACAGGTGTGGGAGTTGAGGAATGGAGGCGGCTTCCTTGCTGGTTCTTCCTGGCTGGCAGGGCCACTGATCCTAGTTTTCTTATTTTTGCTGAGTTCCTGAATTACTTCTGTCCGTGGGCTTTCAAGTCTCAGTTCAAATCCTTCCTGTGTCCATAGGACCCACCTCCCTCCTTTTCTTCCTCATGTTTCTGTATTCCAGGATCTGGACATCAAAACTTGAAGAGAAGGGCTGGGGATTTAGCTCAATCCCTGGTACCAAAAAAACAAAAACAAAACTTGAAGAGGTTTTTTCTCTACCACTCACCACTCCACCATTTTCCTAAAAGTCCACAAGTACTAATTTTATTTATTTATTTATATTTTGTCTTTTTGAGACAGGGTCTCTCTAAGTGGTTCAGGCTGGCTTTGAGCTCACTTTGTAACCTAGGCTGGTCTCGAACGTGCAATGATCCTCCTGCCTCAGCCTCCCAAGTGCTGGGTT